CTTTCTTTCTTTCTTTCTTTCTTTCTTTCTTTCTTTCTTTCTTTCTTTCTTTCTTTCTTTCTTTCTTTCTTTCTTTCTTTCTTTCTTTCTTTCAGGCTCTTACCCAGGGACAAGCTAGCAAAGCTCTGGGAAGGCCTATTCTGACACTTTCCCCAGAGTGGTGGGGAATGTGGAGTGAAATTCAAACATTTCTGAGTGTGGGGTTATGTTCACTGTGCCCGGCAAACTGCTTAGGAGATGAATTCTTTTTCTCCTCATGAAGTTTTCAACCTCTTTGAGCTCCTAACCATGAGCCCTTCTGCGGACTCTTCTCACCAACCAAACTTTCAATAGGTGGATGGGATCATTAGGTCTTTTTGTTCTAATCCTCTTTTCCTATAAATATTTCTGCCAAAACTAAAGGAACAGAGATGAGATTTGACCCAAAAAAGGAAAAAAAAAAGATTAGTCCATTCAAAATAACACAAAAATTTAAAGCAAATATAGGAAAGCCTTTTCCTATTATTTTTCTTCTTAGTTTCCCCATTGTCTGAATCAGGAAAACAGGAAAGCGTTGCTTTCTAGCACCTGCAAAATGGCTTAATGCCCTGCATATTTCCATGTCCTTCAACAATAGATTTAGCATGGGAATCTGAGATAGGCGTCCTGAAAACATCTGTCCATTCCCTGGCTCTCAAACCCAGGTCTTGACTGTGTGTGGTTTGTGAAACCTATCAACCAAAACAGAGGGACAGACACACCTCAATCCTCCATGGGTTCAACAACCAGACACCCTGATGACCCCTCACCCAAGAGCTTGTTGAAAACGGCATCACGTGGCCTATTCTCGACAGTACCCATCTATTTCAGTTGTTAGCTCTGGACTTCCCATCCTTCCCATCGTACCTGAAATGTGGCAAGGGGCCCCTTTCTGCAGTTTTAACCTGCTATCCCCCCCGGGGTTGAAGTTCATTGGCAGACGGGGGTTAAGCTTGAATTGTGTGGTGGTCAGTGTTGTTCTCTGTTGTCAGTGGGCTATCATAAATGTCAGTCATCACACCCTGAGCCCTCAGTGAGAATGTAAGTATTTTAAATTACATGCATCAAATCAATTTCCTGGCTCCCGAAACTATGGAATGTTCAGACAGAAGTGACTTTAATGAGTGTTTACCAGGCTGTAGGGAGGAAAGGATCACAGGGTACATGTCTTCTTAGACCTACAAGACGACATTCTGAAGAGAGGCTCAGGGTCCCCTTCAAGAAGTTGTAGCTTTGTCAATCTTTGGGCTTCCTGTTATGTACCTGTCCTAATAAACTCTGAAAAATATTTTTTTGGGCTTGTTTCATGTCGTTTGTGGCAATTTAAAGCATGTGGAAGAACTTCCTTTGTGATTATTAAATTTATGTGACCCTTTGTGAACAGTTACCTTGATGGCATGTCTCCGACCAGAAGGAATGTTGTATGTGGCTTTGTTGGTGCTGTGTCTTGGGAAGCACTCTTGGTAGACATGGGATACAGAGCAAGACTGCACTACAGCGGGACAGTGGCCATGGCAGCTGAGAGCAAACCCTACTCCTCCTTCCAGATTTCACATTCTCATCTTGGTCACCATGGTCACCATTAATTCCCAATATCTTGTTAATTGCCTGAGTGATGCCTGGTAGATGATTAAACGCAGCCAATTGGTGTGATCAGAAAGCACCCCCTACAATTATCTCAGAGCATTATCTCCGCTTTGTCAGCCAAGCTCTGCCAGTTTGTTTAACTAATTGGACAGGATCATTGCCTGTTTGTCTGCAAAGATCTCACTAAAATTCCGGGTTGTTGGAAGCAGATGATGACTGGTGATTTTCAGATGGTATGCTCGGTAAAGAGAGGGCTTAAGTGAGATAAAGGGCTCCATTCTATAATGCTAACAGCATAGGACACTCCCAACAAATATCCATTAAAGTTAAATAAACCTGATCTTCTAGCAGTTTAGGCTCTAACAGAATTCAGAATCCATTGGGAAATATAACCTTATTCGGAGACTCACAACATACACATACATTTACAAATGCAGATACATGCTCACAAATATAACACACACACAACATACTTCAGTAAACACACATAGACATAGACAATATGCAAATACCCAGAAACACACAATTCTAACACCCATTTCATGCGGAATCAACTGAAGACCAATGTTCTTTGGTTTAGAGAAAGGTTGTGAACAAAGGAATCATCTTTTAATAGTGGCATTGTTGTGTGACTGTAGAATACTCAGATGTCAGGTAAATCTGTCAAAAATGATTCATTTACCAAAGCCCTCAGTGTACAGAGTTACTTACATCCACTGTACATCTTCATTGTCATCAGAAACCTAGGTTGAGATCAGAGTTATGTTTATATTGTGGTGTTTGTTGTGAGTTGAGTGAGCATACCAAGTTCTCAGCCTAGTCTTAAATGTATTTGGTAAGAAAAGACGGTAGTATCAGACAAAAATGTATCCCCAAACCAAAGCAATCTCAGCTTAGATTTCTTCTGAATTACATTTTAGAGTGACATGGAAGGGCTTTAAGAGAGACCTGTGGACTGGTTCTTCACAACCCATCTCATAGGAAATGATGGGCAGGTCAATACTGAAAAGAGAGGAAAGAGCTAGGGTTGGTGGTGCATGACTATCTGAGCACTTGAGAGGAGACAGAAGACTTAAGTTCACAATCTGTTTGAGCTATACAGTGAAAGTCTTTCTTGAAAGGAAAAGGAAAAAAGGAAGGAAGGAATGAAAGAAGGAAAGAATGAATGAATGAAAAAAGAAAGGAAGGAAGGCGGCAAGGAAGGAAGGAAGACAAAATGAAGGAACTGATAACTCTTCAGACCAACGATTAATCAAAGAAGTAGGATTTGATGAAAGACCTTCACAGGACGGCTTAGCCCAGTGAGGGCACTCTCCAGGAAGCTCGCAGTTAGAGTAGATCATGAGCCATTTTCTCTTGATTAATTCTATTTCTTGGGTTTTTATTGAAATTCATCTTCATTGTCTTGGGTGTTGATTGATCTCTTATGTTTCACCCTGGTTCATAATGTTAAAATTAGTGAAATGAGGAAGTGAAAGAAGGAAGGGAGGAGAGAAGAGGAGAGAGGGGGAGAAGGAAGGTGGGAAGGAAGAGAGAGGCGGGAGGAAAGGAGGGAAGAAGGAAAGGAAGGAAGGAGAGAATTAAAGAGAAAAAAGAGGAAAGGGAATACAAAGGGCCAGGGATGGACACTGCTGTGGTGATACTCACTGGGCTCTCTCCACAGTTCTCACTTCAGCTGATGAAAGTCTTTATTCCTCAAAGCCACATAGACCCTCTTGACCGTGTCTGAAGAAAAGCAAAGCTGTTTTGGTGGACCCTTGTTGGGATTAGCAGCCTGTCTGCTGTTCACATCCCCTCCTGCTGAAAAATGCTGCTTCTCTCTTCCATATAAGGCTAAACTCCTGTTTACATGTATGTGTAAGAAGCCTTAAGCTGAGTCTATAACGTCTGTTACACTGGATCCTTCTATTTTAGACTACAACAGTAAAATAGTGAAAATAGTGACATGGTAATAAAAAAGATACGAATGGTAACTTTTACTTTTTTTCCCTCTCCGAGATCTTGCTCCTCCCCTAAGATTGGGTACAGAAGCATTTTTCTTCATTGTCAAAACAATCACATCTCCGGGCACTCAAGCATGCCATGTGTATATAATTCCTAATCCAATCCCACTGCGGCCTTGCCCCCTGCTGCCCAGCCCTCCAGGCCTTCCTGGACAGTCTCCCTTCCATGTTGGGGTTTGTCAGAAGCTCCCTGGGTTTGATCGTTTGGTTTCTATAAAGAGCTGTGTTGTTTGGGGGACTGACACATACCTAGTAGGCTGCTTCCTTTGCCAGTAAGAAAAATATAACTGTTGGAACTATTTCATTCAAATGATGTGTTGTCTGGATTTAATATTTATTTTATTTTATTCATTCTACTTTAATTTTCTTTTTTCTTTCTTTCTCTTTTTTGGGGGGGGTGTCACTTTGTGTCATCACGAAGCTAGCTTTCACTTCGTGTAGGTTTTCTTTTCTTTTTCTTTTTTCTCTTCAATTTGAAATATTTGTTTTGCAATGGAGAAGCCATTCTACTTGCATTTCCAAGACTGTGGGTCCTGGAGGCTTCTTTTATACATCCCCTTCATAATGATGTCAAGCTAACTGCGTTCATCTATTATAAAGTCAGCCCCACAAGGCTGTTCCCACTTTTGCTCTCTAATATGTCCCAGCCACCCAGACCAGGAACCAACATGCAATGGTACTTGAATAATCTATACCAAATGTGTGACTGACTTGGAGATGGCATACCATTGTAAGAGGCATGGTGAATCATGTCAAGGCCTTGGAGATCCTGTTAGATGCTTGCACACCATACAAGAGCCTCTAGCTCCTGAGGCCCTTCAGCTGCCTTTCCATTGGCTACTCCTTTGCCTTGTATCTATTTGTGGGAACTGAGCACATTCAACTGCTGCTTGCCTGGACAATGGCTATGACAGCTACCTGGTCTCCAGTTCTTTCCATCCCAGCTCCCTTGTCAATCTTGATGG